CAATTTCTAATTCGGTGTTAACTGAGATCACCTACATAAACAAAAGCTCTGAGTTTCTCAGTAATTGTTTATACCTTTATTGATATATAATTGACATATAATAAATTGGACATATATATATTATATAACAATACATTTTGGCATATGTATACACTTTTGAATTCATCTTTACCAGTCAGGGTTCTCCAAAGAAATAGATCCAATAGGATATGTGTTTACATATTAAGAGATTATTTTAAGGAACTGTGTCATGCCATTGTGGAGTTGGCAAGTCTGAAATATGTAGGACAGGCCAGCAGGCTAGAAACTCAGACAGGAGTTGACATTGTAGTTTTGAGTTTGAGATCTATAGGGCAGGCTGGCAGGATTTCACAGGAAACTCCAACAGGATTTCTGTTACATTGTTAAGGCAGAATTCCTTCTCCAGGAAGGAATCTCAGTTTTTGCCCTTAGAGTCTTCAACTGATCGAATGAGGCTCACCTACATTATCAAGAGTAGTTTTCTTTTACTTAAAATAAACTGATTGTAGATATTAGTCACATCTACAAAATACCTTCACAGCAATGTTTAGCCTAGTGTTTGACCAAACAAGTCAACACCGCAGCCCAGCCAGGCTGATACATAAAATGCATCATACCATCCGTCAACACAGTCAAGATAATTAGCATCGTCATCACCCTCAGCAGTTGCTTGTGCCACTTTGTCATCCCCATCCCTCCATCCTCAATAATTTTTAAGAGCGTAAAGGAGTTGGTTTTGTCTTACTTAGTCTGTTAGTGTTCCTATAAAGGAATACCCGAGGCTGGGTCATTAATAAAGAGAAGAGGTTTATTTAGCTCACAGTTCTGCTGGCTGGAAAATTGGGCATCTGGCGAAAGCCTCAGGCTGCTTCCACTTGTGGTGGAAGGCAAAGGGGGGCCTGTGTGTGCAGGGATCACATGGTGAGAGAGGAAGCAGGGGCGGGGGTGCCAGGCTGTGTTTAACAATCAGCTCTGAGGGCGTAATAAAGTGAGAACTCACTCATTAGTGCCATTCATGGGGGACCCACCCCCATGAACCAAACACCTCCTATTAGGCCCCACCTCCAACATTGGGGATCAAATTTCAACATGAGGCTGGTGGGGACAAACGTCCAAACTATAGCAGGTTCTGACACCAGAACGTTTGAGATTGGTCATTTTATGGGTCTTCAAAACACATCTGTGATCACAAAATAAATAATATTCTGTGAGAGTTCTTTGAAATGTGTTTTTTTTGTAACCTAGAAAACGATGAAATATTGAGGAAAATTTTGATACCTCTTCCCATTCCCTCCTTCCCCGCTGCCCCTGCCTTAGCAATTTTAATAGGCTTGTTTGCCGGAGTAGCATTTTTTTCCAAACGCAGAGTGGGGTCGTTACTGTGAAAAACAAAGGGTCAAATAAATTTAAACAAAATCAAATCGGTTTCTTTACTGTAAGAATTTTCTGAGTTTTTAATATACTAATGTGCATTATGAATTTTCACAAGGAGAATATGATGTGCAGAGTTTCCCAGATTAATCCTATTGAGGCACTGTTGGGAAAAGCCCAAGTCTGATTTTCTCCCTTTCCTGGAAGGGGTTGTCACTGTTTCAGATCATCGCAGAGGAGGTAGGAGGTATGCCTGTCAAAGAGCCGTAAGTGCTCAAAGAGAAGCAAGTACTTATGCCAGACGCTGCTATCTGCCTAATATGTATTATTCTTATGTGACCCTCAAAACAGTCTTGTAAGTTTTATTCCCAAATTATAGATATAGAAGCCATTAAGAAATTGCCCAAGGTTACACTGTTGGTAAGTGACAAAGTCAGGATTGAGCCCATGTCTGTTTGATTCTGAAGCTTGTGCTTTACTGCTCAAATCTGTTATCCAAAGTTAATCCTGATGTTTTCCTTTTCCTGATATACGCCTGTGCAGAGTTGTTCACACCTATCAACGGGGAATAGCAAGCTTTAAGAACAACAGAGCTACTGACTCTTTCTAGCCTAGACATAGGTGGCAGAGGAGTATTCACTTCATTCTTCCTTTCATGTCAGCTAATGGCAGATAAAATCTCTCCAACCTTCTTGTTGTAATCTAGTTATCTCCTTATGTGTGCCTGGCCCTGTTTGTTCCCTGGTTTTACTCAGTGTTACGCTTGCTGTAACTCATGAAGTGACTTTAGCTGCAGCACCCTAATACCCTAGTCTATGGTACAAGATGTGGCATTGACCCTCCCTATTATCTACCTGTGGAGAAGTTCTTCTCAACCCACCTACCTTCCAGTAAGCCTTTCTGAAAGGAAAGAACATAGT